CCCTTCTCTTGGGGGCAGGGGGGGTGGCCTGTTCCAACATCCACAGTCTCTGCATCCCTGGGGCGAGCCTGAACACACATGTACTCAGCTGTGGCTGCACGAACAATCCCATGTCTGCTGGCCTGTGGCTCCATGCAGCCAGGAGCCTGAGCCTCTGGGGTTCTGCTTTAGCCAAGCTCTGCCCACCCTCATCCCAAATGACCCCGGAGGAACCAAGGGCGGAGCAGCTGCTGCATCAGCAGGCCCCCGGGCTGGGGACCCACATCCAGGCTTCCGTGCCCAGTGGGGCCCCCTGGCATTTGCCGTGGGGGCTCCCCACCCAGAGGTAGGGTGGCAGGTGCAGGCTCAGGAAGCAGCTGCTGACTCCCCTGTCCTGTGCTCGGCCAGCTGCCCACTGGGGGCCTGCCCAGCACATGCATAATAGATGAGGAGGCCCAGCGGGCGCGCCTGCCTGGCATTTCAGAGCTAATAAGGCCAACCTCCTGCTTCCTCGGGGCCCCAGGCCGCGCAGACAGGAGCCACCTGAGGACAGGGGCTGCGCACCCAGCACCCCCACACCCCCTCTGCACAGGCATATCCCAGAGGCCTCTGGGCTTGGGCAGAGTCGCCTGCCAGCTGGGCCGCCGCCCACACACTGTGCCCCCTGGCTGGCCTGTTTCCTCATGTATAAAACAGGACACGGAGGGTCCTTGTCCTCACTCTGCAAGCTGAGGGAGGACAGAATCAAGTGACCCAGGTGAAGGGCTGGCCCAGGCCTGGGCCCCAGGATGCTTCTGAACTGGGAGGCTGCTGGCAGTGTTCCGGTCAAGGGGATGATCTCTCACGCAGGCTGCGGTGACAGGAGGGTGTGGAGGGCCTTTGCCTTGTGTACAGATGACCCAGGTTCCATCCCTGGCACCCCAGAGGGTCCCCCTGAACACTGGCAGGAGTGATCCCTGAGCCCAGAAACAGGAACAGCCCCTGAGCACCACTGGGGGTTGCCCCCCCCACACACCCTAAATAAAAAGGAGCTGTCCCAGGACTAATGGGCCCCCACGGTGGGACATTCCCACGGGGCTGGGCAGGCCCCGTGGACTGCAGTCCGGGTCCTCCCGTCCCCTCCAAAACTGGATTCAAATCCAGCCTTCCCCAGCCACGTGACTGGGCCAGAGCCTCCCAGTTCTCAGTCCTGGTTTTGGTCTCTGAGATGGGGCCCGTGGACCAACTCACTGACCAGTGTCGCGATGAGGAGACACTGTGGATGTCCGACACACATCAAAACTGCAGCAGTGGGTGCACACACTCCAGCCCAGAGGTCAGAGTTCACTCCTCTGCCTGGGGTGTGTCTAGGCCCCCACTTCTGTACACAGCCCCACCTGCCAACACTGCCCAACTGCCTTCCTCTCCGAAATCTCCACCCACCACCCATGTCCCACCCCGCTCAGGATGGCAGGATGAGGCACCTTGTGTCCCATGGACTCTTTTATTTATTTGGGAAGGGGGTGTTGGTCCACACCTGGCGGTGTTCAGGGGTTACTCCTGGCTCTGTGCTCAGGAATCACACCTGGCAGTGCTCACAGTACCGTGTGGGGTGCTGGGGATTGAACGCGGATTGGCCATGTGCAATGCAAGTGACCTACCCGTTGTACTATCTCTCTGGTCCCTCCCTTTTACTTTATTTATTTATTTATTTGCTTTTTGGGTCACACCCGGCGATACACAGGAGTTACTCCTGGTTCATGCACTCAGGAATTACCCTAGCGGTGCTCAGGGGACCATATGGGATGCTGGGAATCGAACCTAGGTCGGCTGCGTGCAAGGCAAACGCCCTACCTGCTGTGCTATTGCTCCAGCCCCTTTAATTTGTTTTTTATATGGGGGCTACACTCCAAGGTGCCCTGGAGCAGTGATTGCAGGTCTCTCCTGAAGGTATACGGGGGATCATGCAGTGCCCAGAATCAACTCCAGGCTCAGTCACCACATGTTCTTTACTCCACATACCTTTCTACCCTTGTTCTGAGCCCCCCACCCCCATCCCACATCCTCTGCTGCTGAGGGGTGGGCTGGAAAACCCACCATGTCACACGGAACCTCTACCAGGCCCCATGGCTCCCCTGATCTGAGTTCCAACCTCTTCATCCATTTCAAAATGGAAGTGGTGATGTAGCTCAATGGGCTGAGTGCAGCCTTGCATGCAGTAGGCCCGGGTACCATTCACAGCACAGCCTGGTCCCCTGAGCACAGAGCTGGGTGCAGCCCCTAAGCACCGTGGGGTGTAGCCTCCAAACCAAAAATAACTAAGCAAATAAAACAGGGAGGGGGGAAACAAAATAAAACAAAACAAAACACACCTTCCCCAGGAAGTCCTTCCAGTCGGCTTTAAAGAGTCTCACGTGTTTCGCGCTCTCGACAGACATGATCAGTTTCACATGCATTCTCTAAGAGGTTATATGATTTGGATAGCAAGGTAAGACCACATGGAGAACAGAGAAGGGGAAAAAGCACAGCCCACTTTTCATGCTGGAAAGGATCTAAGGCAGGAGGCAGAACAATAGTATAGAGGTTAAGGCGCTTATCTCACACATGGTCGGCCCAGGATGGGTCCAAGGCATCCCATAAGGCCCCCACCCCAGCATTGCCAAGAATAATTCCTAAGTGCAGAGCCAGGAGTAAGCTCTGTGCATCACTGGGTGTGGCCAACACCTTCCCCTCCCCCCCCCAACAAAAAACCTCAGAAAGGCTCTAAGTCAAAGCAGCCCCTACGTCAAGGAACTCGGAGACTGTCTCCTGCCACAGTGTTACGTGGACACATTCGCTCCGTGGAGGGGAGGCGCACTTTCTGAAATCACCAACTCAGTGCATAACTACTCAGCATCCAATGGGGCTGGGCGGGGGGTGATCAGTCCATACTCAACCCACTGGCACAGGGCAGAGGCAAATTCAAAACCACACCGGCCCACCTCCAAAGGCTCCGTGTGAGCTAGTCCTGCTTCCCCCCCTCCAGGAATGCGCACCCTGGGAGACCCCCAGGCAGGACAAGCAATAGGGGAAGCATTTGGCCAAGAGGAGGATGGAAGTCAGAAAAGCAAACACACAACAAGGGGCCGTGGGCGGGCTCTGAGGTCAGAGGGGATGACCTCGTGGACCAGAAGTGCAGGGGCGGGGAGGAGAGAGTCCCAGGCAGGAAACGGAGCTGGAGTTCCCCCTGAGTCATGAAGCTGTAACTAAAGATCAGGTGCCAGAGCGGTAGGGCAGCGGGGAAGGCACTTGCTTTGCAGACGCAGGTTCGATCCCCAACACCACACAGGATCGCCTGAGCCTCACCTGGGGTGATCCCTGAGTGCAGAGCCAGGGGTAATCCCGGAGCATCGCTGGGTGTGACCCAGAAAGAAAAGAAATAAAGATTACAATACCCCTCACCCACAGAACATTAACTAACTACAGGCCAGGCCTGGGCTGAAGTCCAGCAAGGGACCTCAGAAAGGGAAGGGAGGACTGAGGGTTAGCACCTTGGACAGCAGCCCCAGCAGGAGGGACTGGGGCAGGCCCTTTGGGCAATGGCCCCTGAGAGGCCAGAATGGACTTTATAGGCACGTGGACGGAAGCCAGCTCATTGGAGAGGCTAACCCAGACTCAGGACAAGTTGCCCTGGGACCTGGGTTTCCTCTCTGACTTGGCTTCCTGGAGAGAGCTCTCTGGGCACCCCCTTCAATATCAAATCTTCCCTTAGACCCTCCCTGGGGCCTGGAGACCCCAAGGCAGGGTGGCTGAGACTCTGCGCTCTGCAGTCTGGGAGCTGGAGGTTCAACTCCCAACATTGCCGAGCAGCAGGAAACCCTGTGAAACCCCTGGGTCACCACTGTGTCATCTCCCATCCCTAACTCAGGTGGTGTGTGTGTGTGTGTGTGAGAGAGAGAGAGAGAGAGAGAGAGAGAGAGAGAGAGAGAGAGAGAGAGAGAGTTCTGACTTACCAGGCAGCTACTGGGCTATTAGTACTAAAGGTGAGTGTGTGCCCCCCATCCACTCCCCACCGCCTCATCCTACCCCCGCCCAGGCTTGGCACATGGTTCTGCAAACAGCAGAGATTCCAGCTGGGCACAGCGGCAGAGATAAAGCCCAGAGAGGGAGCGTGACTGGCCCTGGTTGCACAGGGAGCATCAAAGAAAGATGAAAAGGCAGGCCCAGGGTGGAGGACGCTCAGCCCCCGTGTGCCTGCTGCCTCAGGTGTGGTTTCCTATGGGGCTTTGGCAGCGGGGGAAGATGAGGAGCAACAGTGCCAGACTGAAGCCATTCAGCAGGGAAGGGGGACTGCCAGGGCTTGGGGACCCTGCAGAGCCCTCAGCAGGGGCAGGAAGCGGGTGCCAGAGTCATGGGGGCTCTCCCGGGGAACCCTAGGTGAGGCCACACCTCTGCCACTGCGGGGGGCTGGGGAAGCCAAGGACACACCAGTCTCCCCAGCTCCTCCACAGGAGGGCAATGCTCTGGGTGTGTGCCGGAGGAGCTAAAGCCAAGTTTATGGTGATACTGAGAGTTTGGGGGCCGGAGAAAAGGGTTACGGGCCTGCCAGGCCCAGCCACAAGGAGGGAAGGGACAGGAAGAGAAGGAAGGAAAGGCTTTCTCAAGTGACAAGCATCCTGGCCCCACTGGGGTCACTCAGTTGCTGGCTGACGGTCTGACACTCTGTGCAGAGGCACGGAACTCCCCATTCCACAGGTGTGAACACTGAGGCTCAGCGAGGTCAGTGAATCAGTGAAGGGCAAACTCAGGCAGCAGCAGAAGTGAGGCTGAACCTGGTCTCCCCAACTCTAGGATCTATCACAAAAAAGAAGGGGAAGGGGGCCGAAGTGATTGGACAGCGCGTAGGGCACTTGCACTGCACACAGCCAACCTGGGTTCGATGCCTAGCATCTTATATGGCCCCTCCCAAGTACCACCAGCAGTAACCCCTGAGCATTGCTGGGTCTGATTCTAAAACCACCCTGCCAAGTAGCCCAGCCTCTCTTGAGGTGCCCACTACTCACCAAACACTCCGGCGAGGGGAGAAGGTCTTGTCCACTCTGAAACACAGCAAAAAGGGCAGCAAATGAGGAGGAGCCCCTTTGCACATCACAGGCCAGCCCACCCAGCCCTGCAGGGGACCCAGAAGGATGGCTCAAAGGGCAGGCGGGCACTGCACTGCACACATGAAGCCCAGGGTCTATCCCCCCCAGCACCACAAGGTCCTCTAAGCACAGAACCAGGAGCAGCCCCGGAGTCCCACGGGCTGTGGTCCCAAAGCAAAACCAATACCTGACAAAATGTCACACCCATTGGGTCCTGGGGCACTTGTGGCAAGGGAGGGCCATGGAAGGAAGGGTGGGAGGGTAGAAAAGAGACCCAGGCTGAGAATAAAATGCACAACGTGCTTTGTCTGCAGAGCCCTTGTCCCACTCAGACCACCAGTTCCCAAAGCCTGGCCAGGATGACCTCAGAGTACAGAGCCAGGAGGAGTCCCAAGCACCACAGGACATGCCCACGCACAGAAAAGTGGCAGAGTGGGTAGCACAGAAAGGAAACGAAGGCCCAAACCAGGTGACAGGATGACAGCACGGCTGTGGGTCAGGGGCGAGATGCTAGACAATGGGGAGCAGATGGAGACAAGAGCGGGGATGCTGGGACATTGGTGGTGGGAAATGTACACTGGTGGAGGGATGGGTGTTCGAAACTCAATCAAGAAAGTTTTGTAACTGCAGCTCATGGTGATTCAATAAAAAAAAAAAATTAGGAGCTGGAGCAATAGCACAGTGGGTAGGGCGTTTGCCTTGCACGCATCCGACCCGGGTTCGATTCCCAGCATCCCATATGGTCCTCCAAGCACCGCCAGGGGTAATTCCTGAGTGCAGAACCAGGAGTAACCCCTGAGCGTTGCTGGGTATGACCCAAAAAGCAAAAAAAAAAAAATTTAAAAAGCAGGGATTTGGGGCGCAGGCAAGGCCTACGTGTCTGTTTCCACACAGGGTGATGGATGCTCCGCTGTTTAGGGTTTCCTCTGTATGCAGAAAGGGGAGGTCCCCTTGAGTGTGTACACATGTGCACACACAAACACACGTGCATGCTAATGCAGGCACGCACAAAACACCAGCATGCAAGGGCACGCACAAACACATGTGCACAGCATGTGCATGTACACACGTGTGGTGCACACATAAATGCACACGTGCGTTCATGCATATATGCGTGTATACAATGGGCACTTAGAGAAACAGCCGGATGCACAGATGTATATACACGGCTCATTCAAACCTTCACCCACCAGGGGACAAAGGCCTGGGGAGCTGGGAACAGGAAATCTGCGGGAGCTTCCTCTACCCCCACCTCCCCGCCCCCGCCTGCTATACCCCCTCAAAGCTGTGTAGAGAAAGACCTCAAGCCCCAGGAGTTCAGGGGTACCCCATTGGGCTCCCTGTTTAGCCTCAAGAGAGTGTGAGGGTAATACTTCCCTAGGCTTCCCCCTCCCCACCTTCTGAGGGCACCTTGGGGTGGGGCGGGGTGGGCTGGGCTGGAGAGGGTGCCACTGTCGACCCAGTGGGGGTGCCACCGGCTGCCCAGCTCAGGGGCAGCTGTTGGGACAACAAACAACCCTGGCCCAAGGAGAAGGAAGAAGGAGCCACAAACTGGTCTCCACCAGCTACAGGATGTCTGGGGGTGGGGAACAGGCTCCCAGGAACCAGCCAGTGTGGAAGGTGAACTGCAACGGAAAAAGGGAAGTCGAAGACGCCAGGGCTGGCCAGAGGCCACACAGCAGAACCAGCTCCGCTTCCCAGGGCCCTGTGGAGTCGCTGGCCAGAATCTCAGGGCTCAGGGGGGCCCCTGCATCCCTGCACTGTGGCCTCTCCCCTGGCCTGGAGAAAGGTCCCTGAACTGCACCCCAGCTCCGAGAGCGTGTCCTCTGCACCAGCAGACCCCTGGACGTGAGCGCCCAGGGGTCCCTTGGTCGCAGACAGCAGCACTCAGCCGAGGGCTGGGAAGCCTGAGAAGGGGCTCAGGGCCCCCATCTGTGCCCTCCCAGATGTCTGGGAACGCAGTCAGACCTCCCGCCTCCCACGCACTGTGCTGAGGCGGACATCCAGGGTGAGAAGGGGCACTGGAATTCCGACCACCACTAGACTCCCCTCCTCCCCAAGCCCGCAAGTCCAGGGAAGGGTTCCCAAGCACGGGGAGGGGGCTTACAAGAGTTTCCAGTTCCCTTAGTGCCAAGCCGCGGGGCGGACGGCTACCCTCCCCCTACCCCCCCCCCCACCCTTCTGCGGCCACAGGCTCCGACTGAGCCGCCTGCCTCATCCACATCCCCAAACGTGCGCCTAGGTGTGCACACACCCACCCGCACGTGCTCACCTACACACCGCTGAACCCGCAGGCTGCCATGCGCTGCAGGCGACGCCCCTGATCAGGCGCCGCAGCACAGTCGAACAGAACGTGCTGCAGGCCCACTCACCCTCCCCTCCGTGCGCACGGACCCTCGGACGCTCCCACCTGCCCTCCGTGCGCACCGACCCTCCCCTCGGTGCGGACCAACCCTCCCCTCGGAGCGCACCGATGCGTCCCTCCGTGAGCACCGACCCTCCCCTTGGTGCGGACCGACCCTCCCCTCCGTGCGGACCTACCCTCCATACGCCCCGAAGGTGAAGCTGCGCTTGCGGCCGCTCATGGTGCAGCCGCCGCCACCGCCGGCCGCTCAGAGCCCGGCGCCGTCCCTGCTCCAGGTCACCTTGGCAACCCGGGCGGCCCCACCCCCCGCCACCAGCCCGGGATCGTCCGCGCCCCCGCGGGCCACGGTCCAGCTGCCGGGCTGCAGCACAGAAAGGGCTGCTTGTTCGCGCCGCCCTCAGCAGGCTGGGCTGGGGCTTTGCTGGGGAGCTGGAGCGTGGTGGGGGCGTGCTGTCCGGAGGTAGACACGGACAAGTGGGGGCGAGGCACACTCTTGCACCCCCCTCCCCGCCGCTTGCCCCCAGTCGCTGGACACAGTCGGGAGAATCAGCACTCAGGGTCAGGAACTTGGAATCCAAGGCCCTCCCCAAGCTCCAATTTCTCATCTGTAAACCCCGCAGGCTCCTTCAATGCCCACCCCAGCCCGCGTGCACCTCTGCAGGTGGGTCATCAGAAAGGAGCAAGGACCATCCCACTAGCCTTTTTGTGCTCCGGGTGCTCAGGGCACCCCCACAGTGCCCAGGATGGCACTCAGGCCATCAAAGTGTGTTCTCAGCCCATTGAGCTCACTCTCACTCTCTTTCTCTTTTTCTGCTTCCCTCCCTCCTTTCCATTGCCCCTCTCCCAGAAGCCCCCCATTGCCCAGAGAGAAGAGGGAGGGAGGGAAGAAGGCTCCACCTTCTTAAAATTCCTCCATGGGGCTGGAGCAAAGCGGGCAGGGCAATTGCTTTGTACTCAGTGGGCCCGGGTTCCATCTCCAGCATCCCATAGGGTCCCCAAGCCCGCCAGGAATGATCCCTGAGCACAGAGCCAGGAGTGATCCCTGAGCATTGCTGGTGTGTCCCAAAAACAAAAATTCCTGTCGCCAGCTCCTCCTCCAGCTCAGCAGCCTCTTCCCAGTCTTGATGTATTTTTTTCCTTTTTTCTTATTTTTTTGGGGGGGCCACACCCAGTAATGCTCAGGGGTTACTCCTGGCTGTGTGCTCAAGGATCTCTCCTGGCAGAGTTCACCTGCATAGGGTGTCGGGGATCAAACCTGGGTTGGCCATGTGCCCTACCCGCCATTCTACTGCTCCGGTCCCCAGTCTTGCTATTTTGCTTGGGGCTTTCAGTCCAAAGGGTAGCAGGGAACATACAATGAATGGGCAGAGGCAGGGGCAGGGGATGCACTTAGGGAAGGCTCCTCCTGGCGGGGCCAGGCCAGGGTCTGGGGTAGTCCTGGAAAGCACCAAATAGACTCTCTCTCCCGGGGAGTCCAAGGGGTCCCCCTCCAAGTGTGTCCAAAACCACAGCATGGAGGCTGGAGGGCAACAACATCTCGAGAGGGGTTCCCCTCCACACCCTGCCTCCATCTCCACCTGCACGGGGCCCAGTCTCCTCCTCACACACTCCCGTGGGTGGAAGAATCCTGTGGAGGGGCTGGAGCGATAGCACAGTGGATAGGGTGTTTGTGCCTTGCATGCGGCTGACCCAGGTTCAATTCCCAGCATCCCATATGCTCCCCCAAGCACTGCCAGGAGTAATTCCTGAGTGCATGAGCCAGGAGTAACTCCTGTGCATCGCCAGGTGTGACCCAAAAAGAAAAAAAGGTGTGCAGGCAGCAGAGCCCCCCAGGCCGGTGTGAGGGTCAGAAACGACAGAATTGGCTGGGTCCTGAGCAGAGAGCCTGGGTGCACTGGATCCCGGTAAGGGTTTGGATTCCAGGGCTGCTACCCCACCACAGGGCATGGGGAAGCCCCTGGGCGCTGAATCAGCCTGGGACTGGGCAGGAGGGGCCACTTCCCTCAGGGGCTGCCCTCTACCAGCAGGGGCACCCAGAGCACTGGGTGGGGGGCAGGGAGAGGCTGAGAGCCAGACGTGGGCCGTGGCGAGGTTCTGCCCAGTACCAGGGCCGGGACGCAGGCGCTGGACCCTTCCAGGCTGCTCCCTCAGTGCCATTATTCTGCTGTTCATGGCCATGATTCCTGCGTGAGCTTTGCGTGTCCACTTGGCAGGGTGACCAAGAGGCCTTCCACACGCCAAGTTTCCCAGCCGGGACAGTGGGCCCTTGAGAGGGGCCGTGGGACCGCAGGGTTCCCAGCAGAGACAAAGAGTTCAGTGTAGACTCCAGCCTCTTGGGCTCGGACCAGCTGCAGCTGCCTCCCCGGCAAGAGCTGGGGGTGGGGTGGGGGTGGGGCACCCTGCTCCCTCGGCCAGGGATGCACAGGACACGCCCTGGCCGGCTCCTGGCCTGCAGGCACAGCCACACCGACATGATGTGCAGCTTCTCATCCTGCACAGGCACCTCCAAGGACGAAGGCTCTCAGCATCCCGGGACCCGGGCCGGGTGCAGGTGTCTGTCCGCACCCCGGAGAAGCCCCAGGGTCAGCGC